AAAAAAAAAAAAAAGATTTACAGCTTTGGAAACCCTATGGGGGCAGTTCTACTCTGTCCTGTAGGGTCGCTATGAGTCAGAATTGACTCAATGGCAATGAAATACTTTAAATGAATAAATCTCATACTTTTTCAGAGTATTCTTCTCTTGGGCACTACACAAAGCAAAGCATTTTTCTTCTGTAAACAGTCCTTGAAATACTTTACATGGACGAATTTAAATAAAAGCGTCTGGTGTTAATTCAAAAACTTAAGAAACATTTTTAGATTTGCTAGAATGAAACGTGAGAACAGGAAGGAACTTGCCAACACTGACATCACTATTGGAACCCTTCACCCCTCTCAAAGTAGGAGAGCCTTGTAGCAGGCAAACCAAAGGTAAGGGGAGGCTGCTTCCACCATACTTCAAGACGGCTACGGGATACACCAAAAATTATTTCTACAATTGGTTACTGGCCAGATTATTAACTGAGTTTTCAGAATGAACATCTGTATTTTTGAAGCGAAACTACTGTTTAACTGATGGGTTGTAGATAAAATGATGAGTATGTGCTCACTGTCTGGGTTCAGATGCATTGTCCAGGGAGCTTTCTCCAGCACAATTTTAGGCAAGCAACCTAAGGGGAACTTCTAAAAGGATACTTTACAGTACTGACATAGTGTTAAATGAGTGCTGACTGCCAGTTTTCTCTCACACTATCAAGAGGAACTATCAGTCTATATATTCTAATAGCCTTCTTTGAATTCTCAACTCACTTGGATTAAAGGTTTGATGTATCATCTATTGACTAACTTCTTCTATTTACAATTTCTATCCTTCCTGTAAAAGTACCAAAGTTTCAAACAAAAGAAACCTAGAACTTTACATTTCATTTCAACAACAAAGTATTGTCCTAGAGCCAGCTATTAGAATCTTATCTTTACCAAATGAGAAAATATTTAAAATCTGGAGTGAAGAAGAAATGTTATCCCAAATAGAAAATTATCATCTATTAAAATTTCAGGAAGATCTACATTATCTAAGCCATTCTATAATTTTATTCATATATTTTGTGGAATTCACATATTTTTTTTCTTACAGCAAATATAACACTGTAGGCCACAAGAAGCTGCAGTACTCTTGTTTAATTAGCAGCAAATTAATATTTTATATCTGGGTATCTGGACAATAAATAGCCTGCTCTTTTGGGATGTGAATGGTTAAAATGTATGTAGTATCACTGCAGCTTCATAATGTGATTGCTATTTTACAGAGCTTATACACACAAAAAAATATGATCTTTGTCTATATTTTATACAAATACAACAGTAGTTTGTGAATACATTTTAAGTACATGATATACATGATAAGCCACTTGATTTCCCAATATCACAGAATAGCTATTTTAAATGCAATAAAAATATACAAAATTCAGCCTGGAATGCACTTTTTTTTTTCTTTTCTATTTTGACTCAAAACTTTATCATTAGAACATTTTTAGAGTACTAGTCCAAACGCTTTTTCATTAGCTAAAAATACAATTTCAGCAGTCCAGCTTATGCTCGGGCATGTTGCAATCCGTTTCCTGATGGACTCCCAGTTTTTATTAAATTCAAAGGGCTATTAGTGACATACAGCATGTTCTTCACTCCACACCAGATCATAGAGCCCGTTTTTCACTTTCAGTTCAGTCACCTTGTGGACAAAAGCTGGGTTTGTTCTGGTAAATTTGCATGTCCAAGATTTCCTTTTGCAAGTGCACATGAATACATTGTGGTGGTGCAAGTTTGTTAATGACAAAATAAGTCACAGTATAAAAATATATTGTACACTTTTACACCTAATGTAGTCCTTTTTCTGTGGATTAAAAAAAAAAATACAACCATACAAGACAGAGAAGTTTGTAGCACCATGAAGAGTTGTATCCCAAGTTACATTAGCAGCACAATGCAACATAATATAGAAGGAGTGTTTCTGAGAAGATAAACATTCATTCTGGTTCATCTGTACCACTGAAGCTTATACGACAAAGTGTTTTATACATTAGCAATAGTTCTGTGTCATTTCTAGAGCTAGGTAACTTATCAAGACACTGCCTTCCATCCTCTGAGAGTTGATAATGTTGTTGAAGGGCCGAAGGGTGAGCTAAGTGTGCCTTTACCAATGTAGGTAGTAGTATCTTGTTTCATATGATCAAAAAAGAGCTCTGTATGGATCACATGTGTAGTGCAAAACTACACAACACAATTTTATGTAGATCTATGTAAGATTATCTGTGTTGCAGGCATGCTGCTGACAGTGAGAGAAAAACAAGACAAATTCAGCTTTAGGCACTCACCTGTCAGAGACAGCAGTGTGCCATTGCTAATGATGAATATTCAGCATTTAAAAGATCTCCTCCAACTTCATATGGATCTCAGTAGGCTAGAAGCAACTTGGGTGAACTGGTATATTTTAACTTACGTACTTGGAAGACAGTGTGTTTTGAGACACGTAAACCTTGTAAAAAAAAAAACCATTGTAAAACCTTATGAAAAGACACACACTGATTCTGTGCAATATAGCAAATTGATAAGAAAACACTGTAAAAATGTACCTGTTTAAAATACCATCTGCCATTTTTGTACACAAAGCATTATATATCAAAGGCCTACATATATATCATCTAATGGCACTTGAAACAAATTATAAGTCTTAAAAGGCATAACCTATAAGAAAAGTTTTTGTAAAGGTTTAGATTCATTTTGAAAGTGCTATATCTTGTAATACATGTAATATAGAGGTTGACCAAGCTCTATTAAAAAAAAATATTGGCCTATAATATGAGTATTGCTCACTAGATGAATGATCCTGAAAATATGTACTCTTTAACATTCATTATTAGCTTAATAAAGCAATCAGCTCTGGCTCATGTTTCAGTCAGTATATGGTTTTTAAAAACCGCTACTGTCAAATTAACACAATGTATCACTATATCCCACAAATGTCTAAGAATAATAAAGCACAAGCAACAAATAGGCAAAAATACATAGCTTGAAAGGAACAGTAAATAAAACTTAAAAGTTGCACAGAGTGGTGCACAATCAGCCAGGACAACTGAAGTTTAAAAAATTGAACTTGGTAATAGGATTTTAAAATTAAAGTTTTAACAGTGACCAATAACTATTAAGATAATATTTGTATACATGAATTGTTAATATTGCTTACAGTGCCAAGAGCCTTCCACACTCACACTTCCATGTCTGATGACCTAATGTGGACACACAAGTGGAAGTTCAAACTGAATGAGGTTCAATATCTTGTCTGAGGTCCCAATTCTAAACTAGTTTTTATTGAATGATAATCCCTTTTTTACCAAGCTAAGGCACTACCAAAAATTTCAAGGGTGATGATTCTGGCCACTGGAGCATGAAAACAGCATTGGTAATAATTATTTTTAGTCACATCTAGTTGACATAACAACGGGGGGGGGGGAGCCAATTCTCTCTCATGTCCTTGTTAGAACATTGTGCAATTAAAATGAGTCTGCCTCATCTTTAATAGAAATTCTTTCAAGAAGGGTTTAGTTTAGTGACCACTACAGTCAATTTAAAAAAAAAAATTAGCTGAGTTCACTCTTATTTTGAAGTGTTGTTTCAAGTTTGTGGGGCAGCAATAGGCAAAGAGGTGAATGTATGAAAATTAAAGACTCCACACTTTTAACACTGATGCCCTGAAAGATGTGCCTCCAACTATTTAATTCCATTCAGGGTGAGAATTAAGCTTTAAAAAAATTACATATATATACATATATATGTATATATACATAGATACATATATATATATTTTTTTTTTTTCCCGTCATCATTCTCCATTTCCTAAATGCTTTATTTAATAAATCCTGGTACTTTAAAAAAAATTACCAGTGAAATACAGCCTACTAAGGCCAATGTCTCAGTTCATTAATTTGACTTCTGTTTAAGAAAATTTTAGACAGAATAAAGCAGTGTCTTTCACACTTGCTATTTTTTTTAATTTTAAAAATAAGTTTTCTATATATTTGTGCTCTGTCACCAAACATCTTTTATCTTTTTTTTTTTTTTTAATGGTGATTAAAGCAATATTGAACACTAATCATTCAACTAAAGATTCAGGTAAGCAATCTGTTTCACAGAAACTAAAGGAAGCTGTAATGAAGCAGAGCTAAATGTCTACTTTCAGATCAAATATTCTCCTAACCAAAAGCTTAGGAGCAGTTTGAAAAATTTAAAAATGTATTTCCTTATTAATATATATAATTTTAATGCCTTTGGAACACAATTTTCATTATAAAATGTAATTTTTCATAATAAAATTTAAATACTTACGTATAAAAACTACTGCTCCTAGGATTAAAAAAAAATTAGGAGCATGATAAAATATCAGGAGCCAAAACTCCTTGAGAGCAATTTTGATTCTATGAAGTGCGATACATACGTGTGTGTATATATAATATATATAGTGAAACTCCCATTTACATTATTACAATTTACATTTCTCCACAAATTATACTATCCCCAAATCTTTTAAATAATGTATTATATTCAGTAATACGCACTCATTTTTAGAAATTCTTGGTAAACATCTCAATCTGCAGTGATTATTGGCCCTATAAAAGAAAAAAAAAAAAGCTTCCATATAAGGCTAATGAGTGCTCAGAAATATTTTTCTTTCTTGTTTTCTTTTTTAAAGAGATATATACTCTTCGATAAATTTCCTCCCCACCCCTACCCTGACAGACAGGGTCCTAAAATAAGGTGTTAATAAGTGCTTAATAGATATGTTTCTTAGGTTGATGTACATACTGACACTTAGAAAAGCTATAATAATTTGACCTTTGAGAAGATTATGGCAGTTGTCTAACATGAAGAAAGCCCATAATAACCATTTTATTCAGTGAACAAAATATTCTTGATGGTTATTTTTACATTAACTAAGATGCTGCTTGTTTTACTTTGTCTCCCCCTACAAATTCAGCTTATTTGCAAAATTTTCCCCATTTCCCAGAGATGTGTAAAAGTGGGGTTTTACTGTATATATTTTTAGTCATTTAAAATTTTGTGGTAATTCCTCAAGTAGTCTCCAAATGCATTTAACTTCAAATTCTCCATCCAAAAATTACAAGGACAGATGAATTAACACTGAATAAGAAAGATACCATGGGGAAGGGCTGTTGTTTTTATTTTCTGCTTTTGGCTATTAAGGGAATGCAAAGTTTATTAGATTCAGCAGGAAGCGATGTAAGCAATATGCTTTCACTTTTTCTCTGAAGAGCCCAGCTTTAAAACCTACCAACAGGAGACGTAATTCCTAGCAAGTCTCCAAGTTCAACTGTCTGATTCGCATCTATGTTACTGCTTAGGTGTCTATCGCATGATATGAGCAGAGACAAACACATCCAACCCCTGTAGTTCCACCCTGGCTCTCAGATTCCTAACTGTTGACTGACAATCAAATATAAAATTTCTATCTGCACTCAACCAACCCTTTGGCTGTGGAAGGTGGAAAAGATTAGAGAGTGCTACATATTGACTCTGAAGACTCCAATGTCATACACTATTAATATTATTAAATGGAAAGATGGCAAGTTAAGAAGGTTGAAATGTGGCAAAATAGCCTGTGTACTAAATTAAGGTCAACTATTAAGTAGAATGGAATGCCGTGTCACCTTACTAGAAGTCTCATTTTTTTTCCTATAAATACTGGTGCTTTGTGTTTAGGTTTATCTTTTCCTTATGTGCTCATAATAAGGATGGCAAATATTTTAGCCAGACAATAGCAAGTCTTCCAAATATACTGACCTGAAATTACGATATACCTAAGAAAATTTGTTATCGCCTCAAACTGGATTCTTACTTCATCTGAAACATTGAATCAATTTAGAGACTAGTAAAAATTTAAAAACTCTCTGGTTGTTCATTGAAATTTTATAAAATTTACATTCTTTGTAAAATTTTTAAATGAGCCAAATGTCAAAAGGTAGCGCCATCGTTCTTGGACAAAAATAACAATTTTAAGGTCTAAATGTAATTTGAACATGGAATTTATCGAACTTTACTAATAATAATGGCTTTCCTATATGAAAAAAAATAAAAAGACCTTGAACTATGACAATTGGCAGTGAATTAGGACAAAATCCCTAGGTAAACATAACTGAACACAAATGGTTCTGTTAAAAAGCTAGTTTCTATTTCATACTGGCTTAATGAAAATTGGTACTATACAAAAGCAGAAATTTTTATACTGTCTTAAAGTAGGCACTAAAATAAAAATGGTCATCTAAGGCAGGGCTACACATACACTTTTGTGATAAATCCACGTCTGGGATCCTACTGGAAAGCCTGATGGAAACGTGGCAGGGTGGTGCTTGTGCTTAAGCTACTGGTGAAGGCTGCAGACAGAGAGTGCAGAGATCCAAGACCTATAGTGCTGGCCGGATCCTGCAGATCCTGTGTCTGTGGGGGCAGCTGAGACACAGAAGAATGTGCTTCTTCCTGGGAATAACTCATTCCAAGGCTCCCCACTGATATAGGATTATAGGGCGGACCATTTAATGGTATGAAATTAAACAACTGAGAAAAATCCAACGCTGGCGTGTTGAGGGGATCACCAATAGAAATGGAGCTTTTTGACAGGGAGAGCTCCCCTGCGCCATCATCTAGGGGTCCGATTTGAGGATCTAATCCAAGTTTAGATGACGATGCTTGGGAATCCTGGGACGAAGAGGGCACGCCGCCTTGTAACTCCATCAGGTAACTCTCAATTTCCCCCTTTAATGGCTGTTCTTTTTCAGGAATAGAAATTGCGTATGAGGTAGAACTGAAGGGATATTTGAAAGAAAGGTGATGAGAAGGATGAACAGCATCCATGTCTATTGGGCATGTCATTCCCAAAGGTAAAGTTGTGATCATTTGGTGGGCAGATCCCGAATTCTGCATGGACTGAAACGGAGTGTTGTAGAGGTTTAACTGCAAAGTGTTTGTGAATGGCTTTGATAACAGTTCGCTGGAAGGTAAGGACATCACTGGAAGTAGCTCATCTTTTATAGGCACAGAAACATTGCAGGTGAATGGATCGAGAAAATCCACGGGTTCTGTTTTGACTTTCAGAAGTTCTTGATTGTGACTCTTTTTCATATGTCGAGTCAGGTGGTCCTTCCGTCCAAATCTCTGTGCACAGTACTGACAGAGGAAGTCCTTTCTTCCAGTGTGCACTACCATGTGCCGGCGGACATCCTTTCGGGTGTAGAACCGGCGGTCACAATGCTCGCACTGGTGCTTCTTTTCTTTAACCCCTCCGGACGACTTGCCCGCATGAGACTTAAGGTGCTCCAGAAGCACTCCTGTACTTTCAAAAGTCTGCAAACACACCTTGCAGGTGAGGTCACCACTCGTTGCAGCATGCAAGGCCAAGTGACGCTTAAACCCCAGCTTGGTATTATAGTTCTTGCCACATTCTTCACACTTAAATGTCTCTTTGTTAGGGTCGTGTGTATGTAGGTGATTCTTCAGATGATCTTTTCGGTGAAACATTTTCTCACAATAATTACACTTGTGCGTTTTTTCAGGAGAATGAGTAGCCATGTGCCTTTAAACACAGACATATTCTGTAAGTAATTATTATGACAAAAATGGCAATGTATGCACTTTTCAAATGGAAGCTAAACTACTATGCTAGAACAGAATTCCCTTAATAACGGAAACTTTTTAACTTACAATATACCACAAGGATTGTTAACGTACCTAAACATTGCAAAACCTGAGCCATTTAAGTTGCCACTTCAGTTTTCGATGGTTTTTATCTATCGTTACAAAAGCAAGTGTGCAAGACTGAATATACTCACGCAAATGTCCATAACCACAAATTCTCAGTCCCTACCCTCTTCTTGTAGTAACTTCTTTGTACAAATGGAAATTCTACTCTCATTAAGCATTTTATTTAAAAAAAATTCAAAGAAACTAACACAGAAAAGCAGGTGGTTTAGAATACTAAAAACTAGCCAATGTCTAACTACTTAACATTTCCTCTCTGCAAATCAACTAAAAAATGTGTATACAAATACATACGTTTACCATGGCTTAAAATGGCCAACATAAAAGAAAATATAATCTGAAAGACAAATAGAGTTGAATACCTTTGTAATTTGTACTTAGAAACAAAGGCCTTGGTGCAGTCTTGTTGTATGCACTTGTAGGGCCTCTCTCCTGTGTGAGAGTAGGAGTGAACCTTTAATTTCTCAACACTGTTAAAGGCCTTGTCACACAGTTGGCAAGGAAAGTTTTTTCTTGGTTTGGTTTCACCACGCTTACGTTTCCCTGAAGGGACTTTCTGGGTATCTCTCACTTCTGACAAGTCACCAGGAATGACAGTGGCCATCGCAGCCTAAACCAGGCCTTCTTGTTGGACACTTGGGAACTGCCCAACTCCACTAAATGATTTAGCTTTAGGTGGCTTCTCAAGTTTCATGTGGTCGTAAAAGAAAGCAAAAAGGGACTGGAAAAAAAAAATAAGAAACAACTAGTTTGTAACTAAACTTAATTTTTAAAAATTTTATTTGCTATGTGATGCTTTTGAATTAAAAAAGAAATCATAAAACTGATTCAGCTGGTCTGATGTAATATCTGTAGGTTTCTTTAAACTTGTCAAAATACACATAAATGCATTGCTCAGAATGAACAGTTCACACATACTCCAAAATTGCACCTGACAGATGTTGTACTTTGTGATAGCAGTAGTGACTTAGGGGATGCTCAGGAAACATCAAAACTCAACACTAAAAGTGGCATCATTGAACTTCAATTTTCACAAGGGATTAGAAAACATAAATCTGACTAAAACCAAAAAATGTTTCAGCAAATATTTAAATGTCTAAAATCATTTTAATTAGAGTATGTCAGTTCTAATCATACTCTGCACTATGGGAAAATACAGATGAGCAACTGAAAACTCTTTTAGGCACCTTGTGAACTGATTAGCCCAAGGAAGGAGTTCTTAATGCATTGACACAAGAGGCCTGAAAGAGTTGAATACACCACCCAAACTGAAAATTTACCCTTTATACAGTGTCACCACACCCAGAGGGTTTTGTGAGTGCCAAGTGTACGAAGGGTTTATCTTTATAAGAAATATGCATTCTTGAAATGGTAAAACCTTTTGATGTTATATTAGGTGAGGATCATGGCTCCTTGTCGTTTTGGGGGAAGGATTTGCTTGAAGTAATTTTCCTCAACATTCTTCACGTTACAGAAGATGATTATGTTCACCGGGCTCGCTAAGCTTACTTGATAAGCCAGAGCCTTAAGGCCTCCCCAAGAGCTAAGGTAATCAGGGTTCTGACACACCTACCAACCCCCATGCTACACTTGAGTTGGGAGTTCTGGCTTAAAGCACAATATCTATGCAAGAACACATCATTACAGAGGTGTTTCGGATTGGTAAAAAGGTGTGTCAGAGTTTCAATTCATTATCGGTGCTGTGAGAAAGAATGAAATGTAAACAGAATGCTTTTTTAAACAAAAATTTTAAAATTGAATCGAACTCTGAAAATTCTCAGACAAGAGATAGTTTTATCAACTTTCTCAGAATAAGAAAACCAACTCCCCAAAGATCCAACTGATAGAAGAGTTAAGGCTCCTCAAGACTTGTCTAGTAGTGCACTTTTAAGAGACCACAGAAATGATAATATTTGAAACCTCTTTAAAAATATCTGATTTTTAAATTGAAAACTGGTACCAACTGCTATAAAATCAATTGGATTTTTCACCATATTTTATACTTAGAAAAAAAAACAACTCAACTTCTTTATATCACTTGTGGTTTGCATTAGACTGACACTTGCCTTCACAAGCTAGGTCTGTTATACTGACTTTCACAGATTCCATTTAAACTTTTCCAGGGGTCTAAACGTGCTGGACTACTAACCAAAAGGCTGGCAGTTTGAACCTACCCAGAGGCCCTCAGAAGACAGGCCTAATGATCTGCTTCCGATAGGTCACAGACTTGAAAACCCTATGCAGCAGTTCTAGTTTGCACGCACGGGGTCGCCATGAGTCGGAACTGACTGGATGGCAACTAACAACAACAAACCAACCCTTTAAATTATCTACATTTTTGTAAAATTAAGTGTATATTACAATAGGTCCTCCTATAGTGCTTTAATGTAGAAGTTGTCACTAAACAGGCAAAATAGAGCAATTATCCACTCATTAGTGAGGCAGTAAATAAAACGTACAGATAAGTTAATCAGTATTTGTTTCAATTATGCTTTCTTCTTCAGTAGGTAAAGGCATGGCCTTTGTACTGTTAAAATTATCTAAACACTCCCTTTCTAGTTTAAAGGTGGTATTAACACAATTAATGCAACTCCCTGCCTCCCTCAGAAATACCTAAACAGCAATTCCACTATTGCCAGTAATGACATTAACCTGGTAGAAAGCATTCTGCAAAGGCAGGAAAAAAATTAATTTTGGTGATTTCATTTCCTAACATGATCCTTTTATTCACCTATTTAGCACATTGTGGGAAACAAACTGACACGTTTTTCAATTGCAAAATCAACACAAAATACAGTTTCTAAGGCCCTGTAGATAAGTAATATCTGAAAATATTTCAAAGACTGGTCATATTTGTCATTGTGTTACAAGATCCAACCATAATGGCAGAGAATTCCAGCTGAAAAAAATGTACGAAAAGTGCACCATGAAACAATATACAAACACTTGATTACATTAAAACTGATGATACTCAATATGGAGTAACAAATGAATACTGTTACCTTTGGATGTACATACTGAGCAATGAAGAATTGCACGGATTTCAAATATTACACTTTTCTGAGACCAGCTGAAATTTTTTCATGGCTAATAGTATCTTTTTATCTTTATATATATGAAGCTCAAATTAGTTATCATAGGTGCTTTTAAAACTGCAGGATAAATATAAGGTTGAGCGTTCAACATCTAACAAGAGACTACATTCATAATATGCATATCAATCAAACACTTTAAAGGCACATACACAGAATTGCAGTGATTTCTGTTCAATGCATACCGGATGGCAGGTGGAAAATGTCTCAGACTTTGATCTTAGCCAGTCCCATTGACTCTTTGTGGAAGAGAGCAGAATCCAATCCTTCCCATTTTGGCCAATCTGGGAAACAAAACATAAGAATGGACTATACTCTAAATGGAACGAGTGTGTAAATGATGGAAAATAAAGGATAAAAGAATTGCAATTCCATGGCACATGCTTACATTCCATATTCTGCTGATGAGTCATGCATTAATTTTCACCAACTGCATATTTTTATTAGTTCTAAGCACATTTACATGACCAAACAGATGCAGAAATAAAAAGTAAAATAGTATTACCTAGATAAATGGCAATTTGTGATGCTGAATGACTCCCCACTTCTTTCCCAAATTCAATTTATTTATTTTTTAAAATCTAACTTGCCTACTAAGAGAAATGAGTGTTAGGATTACTGTTTGTAAACCTGATCAAAACGTCATTAAGCTCAATAATGTTAAGGAGGAGACAAACAGTTCTCTCTCAGACTGCATCTGGAACCTCACCAGAAAACAACAGAATCCTGATGGAAGTACTCACGCCCACACTGCACGCGCTTGTGCAACTCGGGCTTCTCGGAGCCTCACTTTTGTTACCTGCAATACCTGCCAATTTATTTTTCAGAATGCAGCAAGTACTGCTGAAATGTAACAACCACTCAGTACTCTTCTGATTTCAAAAACATGCAAAGGAAATTAAGTATAGGTTTGTGATAGGAGAAGGGGGTGTTAGGAAGAAATCATCATTTGGTTTAAGAGATCATTGTTGGAAAATGTTAAACTAGCTTAAAAATGCCTATTAACAGCATGTTCTTTAGTAGACTAAAACACACATAGAAAATCTATTAATAACTCTTTTTAAAAAATAATTCTTGATTCTATAAGTAAATGAGAAGAATACTGGTCAAAAGGCAGAAAAAATCGAGACCTATCTGTTACAGAGATGACAGGGCATAGATAAACTCTGAATATCTTAAAGATGAACTATTCAGAAATCATGATTATAAGAACTTGAGATATATATCCCATTGCCATCTAGTCAATTCCAACTCATATCGACCCTATAGGACAGAGTAAAACTGTTCCATAGGGGTTCCAAGGCTGTAAATCTTTACAGAAGAAGACTGCTACATCTTTCTGGAGGCTGGTGGATTTGAACCGCTGCCCTTTCAGTTAGCAGCCAAGCACTTAACCATTGCATCACTAGGGCTCCTATACAAATATATATATGTATGTGTATACATATACACACATACATATATTTATATCAAATAGTTAAAATAACAAAAGGATTTGTAAATGACAGGTTAAATAAAAACAACTTCAAAGTTCTAAACAGAAATCTAAGAATTTCCCCTGAAATCTAATCTTCACATTTGATGATGCATAAATATTTAATAGAGGACATTCAAGCATCATTAAAAAATACTAATGGGTATATTTGAAAGCAGTAGCATTATTCTCATATTTTAAAGGAAAAGAAAAATAAAAATTTAGACCAATAAAAGATATTTAAAAAGTTAAAACAAAAGCTCCATTCTTTTGTAAAGCACAAGGCATGCATAAACGTAAGAACTGAATTCTGCACATCAAAGTTGCAAAACAATGAAATCAACTTTGTAAATACTTACTTGCCCAGGGCACATAATGAGTTTTGGGTAGGGTTAATTAAGAACAGGAAGTTTTGTGTATTATGTTATTTTAATCACATAAATACCTGACAAGTGTAGACTGCTTTCATCGCTATTTCTTCCCCGGAAGTCAACGAACCTGAGAGGTGGATGGCAGTTATCACCATTGCCATTTTAGAGGTGAGAGGTTCGTGGAAGCTGAACTTGACAGCACAGACGTAGTCAAGAAAAGGCCTATGCCCTAAAGCTCCTATTTCACTCCTTAGTCTACCATATTCTGTGAGAAGTGCAGGTTAGCAAACCAACTTGCAAGGGGATGAATTCTTTTATTATACTTAGAAGACAAGACTAGGGGACAGTGACTATTTTCTGTTAGAGCTGCCAAATGCAATCCTCCAAAGGAAACAAATATAAGACTTAAAAAGTTTCTTCTACTCAAGACAGTTTATAAAACAGATTTTACAATAATTCAAATAATAGTTAAATAACTGTATGCCCATCTGAGTGAATAATGATTCGATTAGCAAAAATCTAAAACCAAAGTTGACTAATAAACAGTAAATTTATATATTTTCTTTTTTTACTGACAAATATAAATTTTAGTGCATCTCAAATACATTCACAATATTTTTCTTTGTTTACTGTTCAATGGTATTTTATAATAAAAATACTTTAGAGTCTAAGTAGAGTTTAAAATTATGTATCTTGCTTTGAGATATCCCAACAATCTACAAATTACCCTGATATACATTTTGTTTTACAGTGTGAAATAAAATAATAACATAAAACTATCCTTTTCATTTATTTTACCAAAAACCTAATTCCAAAGTCATGGTTACCTTCCCTAAACACAACCTAATAACTGTGAGTTCTTACGGGTTGACAAATATTTTAAAGGACTGTGAATTATTTACCAAAACAAAGGAAACCAGGAGCTGGTTAGAGTTAATTATTTGGCTTGATATAATAAACGTAGAAAAACATATACTGCTTGTATTTACATAATCCTAAATAAAAAATCAATTAAAATTATTTGTGTACTCTCTTTTATAGGATTAAGGAAAAAATTTTTAAAAGTTATCAATACTACTATTCTGATGTTTTGCATCAGATTTTTTTTTTTTTTAAAAGAATTTCTCAAAGATTGGTTACTATGCTTTTTAAGTGATGAAAGTTCTTCTGTGCCTTGGTCTGAAGAATTGTGAAGCAAGGTAAAAAATGTACATATACCCATTTAAAATCACTCTAAGAAGAAACAGCACTTCAGATTACTCTTCTAGCATTTTTTTCCCAGTGCAACTTTGCATGCATAGAAACAAAGGCAATGTTGTGTGTGCACGCACATACAGGTTTCTCTTCCTATGTTTTACATTCTAAAACAGTGACGCACGTGTTAAAACAAGAAAAATGAATCATATACATCAGAGGGTATAACAGATCTGTACTGAAACCGTCCTTCTATTTCAAATTCCATAGTTCTGACATTCATTTCTATAACAGCTATGCATTTTTTACAACACTTACCTGCATCAATAATTCCTTCATATTTAAAAGTCAAACATATAATTTGCTAATTAAGAGCAAATGATATTGATAATCATGTCTTTATTCTTTTATGCTAATCATAAAACACCGTTTGTAAACAATTTAGAAAATGTCAACATTTGCTTAAAACAGGTTCTTTTCATATGGAGCAAATAAGGTGGGTTGCTAAAGGAAATTTACCAGTAGTTAATAATTTAATGTGTATAGAGCACAAAAAAAACAAAACAAAACTGAAAACTATTGCCATTGAGTCGATTCCGTCTCACAGCAACCCTATAGGACTGAGCAGAACTGCCCCAAGGGGTTTCCAAGGCTGTAAATCTTTATGGAAGTAGACTGCCACATCTTTGTCAGAGTAGCTGGTAGGTTCGAACCTCCATCCCTTTGTTTAGCAGTCAAGTGCCCCAACCACTGCATGACCAGGGCTCCATAAAACACAACAGAGCTTTGACTAATGTGAAGGAAACTATTAACCAGATAGCACAACTGAAGATAATCAATTCTGAAGGGCAACTGCACACTTAAGTACATGTTTTTAAACAACTTCAATGATCTTGAATGATAATTTGGAAATTTTCACAACACTCAATTTCCATAGGTATGTAAAATCACTGACTAGAGACAAAAAAACAAAAACTCTTGCAACTATTAAAACCTGAGAGGAGTAAAAATAGACGGCAGGTAGCACAGGGGCAGGGGCCCTGTCAGTTTACTCATGGCTGTATCCCATAAAAGGCAGTAAAGTAACTGGTGAATAAATGAAAAAAAAAAAAAAAAAGGCAAACGTTTACTAGCAACACAATGAACTCTAGGTCTGCTCAATCACTCATGTAGACAAAGGGCAGAATACACATATCTATACTCAAGTTTAAACCAATGCAGTGTGGATGCAATTTGGTCCAATAAACAAAATAAGCCAGTAGGAATTTTTTGAATCTTAACAGCTACTTGTAAAAGTCTTCAATTAAAACAACAGCGATTATAATAATAAAAGATGTCTAAAATACTTGTTTTGTTTCAGAAAATAAGCATTCTTTGATTGACCTAATTACTAAGGAATCAACTAGTAGAACATACATAATATCAGTTGGCCCCCCCATTCCTTGGTACGGTGAAAACATGTCTCCTGTCTGTACTCATGTGGGCATGGAGCAGGAAGGATGGTCAGATGGTCAGAGGGTTAAATGGGTTGCTGATCCCTAGAACAGAAAGGTCACCTCCTGAGAAGCAGGGGGCAGGCAAAGAGCCACCTGTCCATGACTCACCTAAGTCCAAGTAGGCACTCAGACAACTTACACTATATGCAGAATAATGAGAACCACAATATTTATTTTCCTATGTTAGATGTCATGGTTAACTAAAATTAACAAAAAAAAATGACAGATTTTTTAAATTAGCATACTTGATATTTTCAACTTATTTTGAGCAAGTCATCAGAATGTAGTTTTAGGATAATCCCTTCAAAATTTACCATAAAAATCAGCTTTACTGATATTTAGAAATGTCTTATATTCAATATATAATACAAAAGTTAGAGAAATGAAGGGAAATAGCAGACCTATTTGTTTTTAAGAATACAAATAAATCAAAGCTTCCCAAGTGAAACCAGCAAATTCCAACTTCAATTCTTTTATCTGTACAGTTAAAACCAGTTGCTGCTTAGTCAATTCCAATTCGTGGTAACCCCGCGTGTGTCAGAGTAGAACTGTGCTCCACAGAGTTTTCAGTGGCTGATTTTTCAGAAGTAGATCACCAGACCTTTCTTCTGAAGCACCTCTGGGTGGACCTGAACTTCCAACCTTCCTGTTAGCAACTGACTGCATTAACCATTTGCACCACCCAGGGACTCCATTTATACAATTAGGATGTTCCATTTCAGCCACCTTGACCCTGGGCCTGGCTATTTAGGTCAAGTTTTCTAGAGTACCCAGAGAGAGAATGAATAGATAAGCCAATGAAGATGGAATATTAAGGCAAATTTTATCTTTTAATCCTGAAATATTTTCCTTGGTTAATTAATTTTATGGAACAAAACGTCACGTTAGAATCAAAAAAAATTTCTTCTCTTTTCATGATCTGTAACTTATTGATTTACCCACTACACGGGGGATTTTTTCCCTATGACTGTATAGTCTTCACAAAATAAAAAACTAAAAAATACAGATGGGTGGTACACTGGGGCATTTTTTCTTTTTCTTCACACAAGGTAATTAAAATAGGAAGTGAGAGAGGAATTGTGCAAAAGGGAAGGAGTGGTGATGCCTGAGAGGGAGCAAAGAACCACAACTGTATCTGAATACAAAGGAAGATTGCTTAATCAACATTTTAGCTATTTTTAGAGATTTTCCTTGGCTTTTTTTTTTTTTTTGTATACAGCATTTCCAAAATACTGGTGCTCTGGCTAGGGTTATAAAATAGGTAGCTCACAGGTCAGCTCAACCTGAAAATCACATATATCCTAAACTGTGATGAGTTCTTTATGTTTTTATCACTACCAACCATTTAAATTTCTGGGGGTACAACAAAAATGTTTGACATCAACTACAAAGTGTTTAAACTGAAGGATCCTAAACATTTGGAGGCCAGACTATGGTTAACTGCCTGCTGCTCTTAAAATCACCAATACCAGGATAATCCAGGTTTCATGTTTCAACTCTCAAGTACCTAAACTGGATCTGTCCATAAATTCAAAAGGAAAGGTAGAAATCAGTACACATGGTAACAGAAGTGATAAGGAAAGGAAGTCAAGTTATAAAAGCTCATGCAGAGAATTAGTTTTAAGCCATGGTGGTACAGTGGTTAAGAGCTATGACTGCTAAACTAAAGGTCAGCAGTTCAAATCCACCTGCCACTCCTTGGAAACCCTATGGGGCAGTTCTACTCTGTCCTACTGGGTCTCTATGA